GAGGCCAGGGTACCTGTCCTGGAAGGTACCGGGAGCCCCAAGGGAGGTGCCTGTGTCACAGAAGAGCCCTTTGAATCAAACCTTGTCGGATAACCAGGAGCTCATTGGGTACAGAGAAAGCTCAATGTGGACAAACCCAAGGGTCTCTGGGAAAATGACTTTGGACTTGACACCCAGAGAGATATTTCAGAAGCCTGGCTAAGCTAAGGTGACCAGACGTCCCGCTTTGGGCGGGACAGTCCCAATTTTTAACAATTTTGTCTGTGTCCCGCAGCGTTTTTAAAAAGTCCCGATTTGGGGAAAGAATGCACGACAAGCTAGGGTAGACGGTTTTCGGCTGCCATGTGGCTATTTTGCCAGGATAGGAGTTTTGTCAATGGTGTCCCGCTTTACCAACGTTAAAATCTGGTCACCTTATGCTAAGCCAAACCCCTCCTCAAAACCCTTCAGGGGCTCCTCAGCAGACGTAAAATCCAGTTTGAGTTCTTGGCTGGCAACCAAAGTTTGCCCCCCGCCGCCCCCATCTGACCTTATCACCCCAGTGATCATCTAGGGAAGTCCTCTAGTCTCACCTGGCCCGGGAAGTCCTCTAGTCTCACCTGGCCCAGGAAGTCCAGAGTTTTTAAGAATTTCAGTTCTGTTCCACAATGTTCCTGACTCAGTCAAGATCCCTCTCTTGTGGTCCAGATCTGAATGGTTGTTAGTGGGAGTCGGACATCATCTAGTGCTTCTGGTCTCAGGTAGATGAGGCCCTGGCTCACGCAGACCGACCAGTAGCCTAGTTTCTCCTCTGAGGCTTCGCTTCTCTTCTTTCTCTTTTGCTCCAACTGGGAAGTGTGGTAGTTACATAACCAGTTGTCAATTTGAGTAGTAAGAGTGAAGGGGTGGAGTTTAGCCTGCCAATTAGATCACAGCTTGATGACCTCATTTGGAGGTGCTAAGGAGATAAATAGCTCATTGGAGGCGGGACACATGCTGACTCCCTGGGAGACACTGCAGTTGACAAGCCACATGGAGACAGACTGATGGCAACCAGAACCCTGGACCTGGAGAAGCCACATGGAGGCCCCGGCCAGTGCTGAGATGCTCACCCCATGACTGGATCCACAAGACCTCCAACCCACTGGCCTGTGATCCTCCTGCATTCTGCATCATTGCATGTGCTTCGTGAGTCTGAAGAGGACTTTATAGATTGGTATTGGACATATGGGCTAATACTGGACTTGAACTAGACTGGGCTGGGCTGTTTTCTTTTTTTTTCTTCTTTTTTTGGGGGTCGGAGGGGGTGTGTTTTCTCAATATTCCACTGCTCTTGTATATAAAGCTCTTTCTTATACACGTGAGTGTCTATGAATTTGTTTCTCTAGTCTACCCGACTAACACAGTAAGAGACTGATCATTGTATCGTAGATGGCTGCTTGCAAGCTTAAGCCCCCAGCCATGACTTGCCAAATTAGGGTGGAGAACAGAAACTTTAGTAACTATATTATGCCAATTGACCAAGTGGGTCCATAAGACTCAGCCTAAGCCTTCAAACTCAGAAAACAAATTCTTTTCTTTTTTTTTTCCCAGAAAAATTCTGTGAGGTGTTGGGTTATGTCCAGGAAGCATGTATAGCTCTGCCGCCCATTAGATTATATATCCATTATATTAAAAGAAAAAAGAATCTATGGCTTATAAGCTGGCAAGGGAAATCGAGGGTCCCTCCAACCTCATTGCCTTTGTTGTCTGGTCCATTCAGATCCGGGGAGTTTAGTTTATTTCATGCCACCGGTCAGGGAGAGCATCCTGTTTCCTTCCTCTTTGCCTATCCTCTACTTTCTAGGCCGGGGGATTTCGACATAGTGAGGCTTGAGATTAAGGTGGTGGAGAGGATTCTAGAGCTGATGGGTAAAGGGGTCTAGGAGGGGAGGGGCTGGGCCAGTTCTCGCCTTTCAGCCTCTCTCCCCGCCCGCCTCTTTGCAGTGCTCAACTTCCTGCCTCCGCAGAGGAAGTGGGGAGCCACAGCAGGTGCTACGACAGCTAACGGGCCATGGTGAGTCCCAGAAATGCAGGCATCTTTGTCTTTAGACCCTTGCCCCGAGGCCTCAGTCTTCAGGAGGGGTGACTTCTCCAAGCTTCCAAGCTCAGGTGCTGTTGGGAGTTCTGCCGGCTGCTGCCAACGGCCTCCTAGTGACGGCCTCTCCTGCACCCACCCCCACAGGACAAAGAGTATGTGGGTTTTGCTGCCCTCCCCAACCAGCTGCACCGCAAGTCGGTCAAGAAGGGCTTTGACTTCACATTGATGGTGGCAGGTCAGAAGGTTTGGAGAGGGAAGTGAGGGGAGAGAGGTGACCCTTCACCTGTTCCCTCACCTGACCAGCGGGGCCTGTGCTGTCCACAGGGGAATCAGGCCTGGGAAAATCCACTCTCATCAACAGCTTGTTTCTTACTAACCTCTACGAGGATCGGCAGGTGCCAGCGGTCAGTGGTAAGACTCCTCCCCACTTGGCAACGGCATCGCCCTCTACCCCTTCCTGGGCCCTCTGGCTTTTGGGGTATCTCGGACAGTTCACTGCTCCCCTCCCACCACTGTTTCCTCTCCTGGGAAATGGGGTGGAGGGAGTGGACTGTAATGCTGAGAAAGCAAACTATCATCCTGGCCCCAAACCAGCTCCCAGGCCTCTTGCTGTCCTGTCCCCATAGCTCGCTTGACCCAGACACTGACCATCGAGCGCCGGGGCGTAGAGATCGAGGAGGGGGGTATTAAAGTGAAGTTGACCCTGGTGGACACACCTGGTTTTGGGGACTCAGTGGACTGCTCTGACTGGTAAGGAAGAGGGCAGGGTGACTCTGTGGAGCCTGGGAGTGAGGGTACAGGGCTGGTCTGCCCCGACTTCCCACCCACACACACCTGCAAGGGGTAGTGCCTGGTTTCTGTGTCCACATGACCCAAAATGTCTCTGTGGTCACTATGCTTCTAGATGTCCCACCTGTATACCTGCTGCCTTTGGGTGGTACCAATCCCCAGTCCTGGCTCCTTTTGCCTTGGGTCCTCTGGTCTCTGACAACGTCCCTTGTCCCCACACTCCAGCTGGCTGCCTGTGGTCCGCTTCATCGAAGAACAATTTGAGCAGTATCTTAGGGATGAGAGTGGGCTGAACCGGAAGAACATCCAGGATTCTCGCGTCCACTGCTGCCTCTACTTCATCTCACCCTTCGGCCGGGGGTCTGGGGGACACACCTGGGAGTGGGGGGCTTGGGGAGGGCTGAGAAGGGCTTCCATCCCCTGAAGTGGGTCCTGATCAATCCCCGGGATGCAGGCTGCGGCCCCTGGACGTGGCCTTCCTCCGGGCTGTGCACGAGAAGGTCAACATCATTCCAGTGATTGGCAAAGCAGACGCCTTGATGCCTAAGGAGGCCCAGGCCCTCAAGCAGAAGGTGTGATCCTGCCCCACCGCAGAACCAAAGTTCCGACTCCTTTGACCCTCGAGTGGCCTTTTCAGAGCAAGGATGGGTGGGCAGCCCCAGGCTAAGGCCTGTCTGAAGGCGAGGCCATAATGATTTCTCTTTCTTTTTATAATGATTTCTGACACCCTTTGGCTCTAGGATGCTGATGGCTGACCCCCAGCCCTCAGGGTCCACCCCCACGGTGTCTGTCCTCCTGGGACCGATCTCCTCAGGCCTCAGTCTCCAGGGTAGAGCAACTGTTTTCATCAGCGCTGTCTCTGTTTCTCATGGTCTTGGATTACGTTTCCAGACATGCTTTGGGTCCAACTGTCACCATCTCTCTGACCACCGGTCTCTAACTCGGTGTCTCACTGTCACTGCCTCTCTGTCTCCTCCGAGATCCGGGACCAGCTGAAAGAGGAAGAGATCAACATCTACCAGTTCCCGGACTGTGACTCCGATGAGGATGAAGACTTCAAGAGGCAGGATGCCGAGATGAAGGTGAGAGAGGCAGTTGAGGCAGGTGGGGAGGTTTTTGCACGGAGTGGGTGGGGGTAGGAGGCCCAACCCCTGGCCCTGCTCTCTAGGGAAGCATCCCCTTCGCTGTTGTCGGTTCCTGCGAGGTCGTGAGGGAAGGTGGGCCCCGGCCCGTGAGGGGACGCCACTACTCCTGGGGTACCGTTGAGGGTGAGTAAGGCCTGGCCTGTAGTCTGAGCCAGACCATTTCTGGGCCAATTGCATCCACCATGCAAGTTGGGGGCTGGCTCTGGCCCTGGGGACCCAGGAGCAAAAAGAGGGGAGGCTGGGGTACCGACTGCCTCTGCCACTGAGGTCAGACCCAAAGCTCCCAGATGCTCGCTCGCTGGTTCACCCCCTACCTTCTGGCCCAGTGGAAAACCCACATCACTGTGACTTCCTGAACCTGCGACGGATGCTGGTGCAGACACACTTGCAGGACCTGAAGGAAGTGACGCACGATCTGCTCTATGAAGGCTACCGGGCCCGCTGCCTGCAGAGCCTGGCTCGGCCTGGGGCTCGAACCAGCCGCAGGTGGGAGCCAGAGCCACTAGCTTGGTGTACTAGCGTCCCGCCCCGGGCGCGGCCACCTAGACAAGGCCCCGCCCCTCCAGTCCCGGCTCCGCCCCAAGATCAGGCCCCGCCCCCACTCACTCCCGCTCCTCCCACTCACTGCCCCGCCTCCAGGGTCAGCCCCGCCCCCTCCCCCCCATTGCCCCGCCCCCAAGACCAGGTCCCACCCCCGCCCCCGACAGTGTTCCGGGACCCCAATTGATTGCTGCCCCTATCCTCCCCCCACCCACCTCTCCGCCCCCAGTAAGCTTTCCCGCCAGAGCGCCACAGAGATCCCCCTGCCAATGCTTCCCTTGGCCGAGACGGAGAAGCTGATCCGCGAGAAAGACGAAGAGGTGAGCCGGCGCCTCGCTCCCACCCCGACCCCCACCCCGCGGCCAAGAGCCCCGCCCCTCGGAAGCCGCTCTCTGGCCTGGCCGGGCCCCACCGCCTGCCCTCTTGCCCCGCGCAGCTGCGCCGCATGCAAGAGATGCTGGAGAAGATGCAGGCGCAGATGCAGCAGAGCCAGGCGCCGGGCGAGCAGTCGGACACGCTCTGAGGCTCCGGCCCGCCCACCGCTCCGCGGCCCCGCCTCCAGCCCACCTCTTGGCCAATCCCCAGCCCCAGAGCCTCGGCCCCGCCCTCAGACCCGCCCTCCGGCCGGTTTCCCCCAACCCAGAGTGGGCAGCCCCGCCACCCTTGGAGCACCCTCCGACTGGGAGTCTCCACCCGCACTTGAGCCCCCTTTCCTCACCCTAGCCTGGTCGCCAATAAAAGCTGAGCTGCCCAGGGGACACGCGTGTCTTCTCTGTCCAGCGGGACTGAGTGGCGGAAGGAGCTGGCCCGTGCAGTCGGGGGTACGCCCGCTCCCTGCTCCCCGGTATTTCAGCTCTCAGCCGGGCCCCCCACCCGCCAACACACACTTCGAAGGCGCCGCCGATAAGAAACAAAGACCAGTTCGATTTTATTGGTGGTCGGGGTGGCGGTGTTGGGCCGGCCGGCAGGTATTGGCCGCGGGGGCTTGCTTACGAGGGTCCCTCTACTCCTGGTCCTTGGCGTCGCCGTGCGTGATGACGTAGCAGATGTTCTTGTAGTCTACGTTGCCGCCCACGTCGGGAGGGAAGGCTGCCCACATGTTCTTGATCTAGGAAAGACGTAGAGGAGGCTCCCATCGCTGTCGTACTCCCTTATTTCCGCCCCATGGCTTCTCCCCGAGGCTTCCTCCACTCACCTCCTCTGGGGAGAAGCGGTCGCACTGGGTGGTCAGCAGCTCCTCCAGGCTGGAGAGAGGTGAAGTACAAGGAACTGCGGTGGTTGCCCTGCACTGTTCCCATCTTCTCTTCCCGACGCCTCCCACCCCCATCGCTCTACCGCCTTGCACAGGACCTAGCCCGAAGGAGAGATTTAAAGAGGACGAGGGGGCGAGGGCAGCTAGAGGGAGCAACTTACAATTGTTTCTTGATGGTACCCTTCCCCTCGGGGTCCAGGATCTTGAAGGCTCCGGTGATGACGTCCTCAGGGTCCGCACCTGGGGAAGTCAGAGGGCACAGGAGACTGACAACCAAACCCAACAGACAAACTCACTGCCATCGAGTCGATGCCGACTTCTAGCGACCCTAGAAGACAGGGTAGAACGGCCCCTGTGGGTTTCTGAGACTGTCACTCTCGACGGGAGTAGATAGCCCCGTCTTTCTCCCGCGGAGCCAGTGGTGGTTTCAAACTGCTGAACGGTGCAGTTAGCAGCACAACACAGAACCACTACCGACCTGGGCTCCTCCACCTGAGACGGAAGGGTCCTGGGAAGGGAGTTTGGAGGTGAGACCCTCCACTACTCACCCTTGAGCTTCTCCCCAAACATGGTCAAGAAGACGGTGAAGTTGATGGGCCCACTTGCTTCCTTCATCATAGCGTCCAGCTCCTCATTCTTCACGTTGAGGCGGCCTGCAGGGGCACCATAGGCTAGGGCAGCAGTTCTCAAGGTGAGGGTCAAATGACCCTTTCACAGGGGTCGCCCAATTCATCACAGTAGCACAATCACAGTGAGGAAGTAGCAACGACAATAATTTTATGGTTGGGGGGGGTCACCACAACCTGAGGAACTGGATGAAAGGGTCGAGGCAGGAGCAAGGTTGCGGAACCGCTGGGCGAGAGCAACGTCTTGGAGCCTGGGCCATACTTCCTCTAAGTTCAGAGCCCCCCAGCCCCCACCCATTTAGCAGCTAGGCAGACTAAGGCCTGGAGAGGAGCAGATGCTCCTGGAGCCCAAAGCTGTTGAGCCCGGACTCTGCCGCCTTGATGCCTTAGTCATTCATTCCCTGTGGGGTGGGGGTGGGGTGGGGGCAGGGCTCACCCATAGCAGCAAAGGTGTCCCGCAGATCCTCCTTGTCGATGATGCCATCTCGGTTCTGATCGATTACAGTGAATGCCTGTGGAAAGTGAGGGGTGGGAGGGGGCTCAGGGGACGAGGGCTAAGTCTCCCATGGCCAGGCATTCGCCCTCCCATCCTAGGCTGATCAGGTTCTGGCCCCCAGCCAGCTGTCATCTTCCATGCTAAGCAAAAAGGAGAGGAAGGAATTCTAAGCCCTTCCCCTCCCGGCAAACAGGTGCACATTCCAGGGAGAGAATGAGGGCAGGCGAGTGGGTGGGAAGGGACAGTAGGGGGTGGGTGCCTTTGGCCAGCATGCAGCCTTCCCCAGCCCCTCTCTCACCTCCTTGAACTCCTGAATCTGAGTCTGGTCGAACATGGAGAAGACATTGGAGCCTCCGCCCTCTGCTGCCCGTCTCTTGGCCTTCTTGGGTGCCTAGGGGACGAGGGGTGGACAAAAGGGCCTATGGTTCCATCCCTACAACTCCCTAGGGCCAATGGACTCAATTCAGGATTTTTGGAACCCCTTCCTTCTCAAGCCATGGGAGGAAGATGAGGTTTTCTACTCCAGTGAAGAGGTACAGTCTCAGGGGCCAGTACTACCCTGTCCTACAGGGTCACTATGAGTTGGCATTGAGTTCCTTTTCAAGCTATTCCTTGGGTTCTAAGCCCCCCCCTCCCCCCTCTCCTTGGGACCGCTTTGCTAAGAAAGTTAGCTTCAGTTACATTCCCCTCCAAACTCCCATCTGTGGTCCCTAGACTCCATCCTTCCATTTACCCATCCAGTATATGTTCCCTTCCTTCCTCGGGGTTAGAAGCCAGCTTCCTTCCTGTCTCCATATTTTAAGTCCAGACTAGCTGTGTGACCCTGATCCAATCATCCACCCTCTACCCTCTTCACTTCTAAATTGGGAGTGGGAATCTTTGCCTGACTGTTCCCAGAGGGCTGGAAGGAGATGGAGTCCAGGAAGGCCTGGCACGGGCCTTGAGGGCTGGACCCCTGTGAACGGGGTGTTTGGGCCGAATTTCCTTGGTTAGGGCTTTCAGGTCATCATGCTGCCTGCTCTCTCCACGAGTAGTCGGAAGACAGTGAGGATTCGTCTATTGTCTTCTTACTGAGCTAAACCAGCTATTTTCTCCCAAAGGGCTCTGAGTTCTGAAGGATCTTGGGCAGAGGTTGAGTAATTCTCACTCACCATGTTCCTGGTCTCCTGGGGACAAAGTCGTGGAGCCGGCTGGAAAGGAGCAGAGAGTCAGCCTGGGGCAGTCCCTCTGGGGTTATATAGTCCTGCCCCTGGGAGCCCTTAACATACCGCAGTAACCTTAGCCTTTTGGGTGCCCACCCCAAATACCAAAATAGCCCAGATCAAGGCCTCTCCTTTCTTGGAGGGCCCACAGCAGCTGGAGCTCAGGGAGGGCGGGAGAGTGGTAGGAGGGAGGAGGGAGGTCTTGGGATGCAGGTCTCCCTGGGACCTAGGCAGCAGGGATGTTCTTTCCCCCCATGGGGTTGGAATTCAACAGGGTTTCAGAGGACCCAGGCCTAGGCACAGTTCCAGAAAAGAAATGAACCAGGCTCCCTCTGCACCGCTGAGTGGGCATGGCCCGGATTTAAATCCAATACACATTTATTGAGTACCTAGAGTACGTCAGGTGCTAGGGTTGGGCTTTGTGGGTGGACTTCAGCAAACACCACTTCCCCCCACACCCAAGCCATGGTGGAGGTCACAGTTGACTATGTATGTGTGGGTGCTGGTGACAGAGCTTGGGAGTGGGAAAGAGACTTGTGGAAGCTGGGGGGAACTAGGAAACCTACATCTGCTTGCTGGCGACCAGACTCGGGTGCGGGAGACTGCAGTGTGTGGACTCACGGGGGTAAGAGTTTAGCACAGCCCAGGTGACTTGGTGATGTGCCTCGACAAAATAGGGCTGTCAGCCCCATCCCACAGAACGGTTCCAAGTGGAGGCGAGCACTTTTTGGAAACAGCTTTGAAAAGAGCCAAACCCACTGCCCGAGTGGATCCCGACTCACGTGGGCGTGCCAGGACAGAGGAGAACTGCGTCCTAGGGTTTCCAAGTCTGTACGTTTTTTCCCCCTGAGACAGACAAGCCCATCTTTCGTCCACTGGAAACAGTTCAGTGAACGAGAATGAATAATGGCCCTGGTGAAACTCACCGTGTGGCCACAGAGACAGAAGTAAACATAGACAAGACCACATCCTACTCCTGGTCAGAAACCAAGGGAGAACACAGCAGCCATGTTTAGGGCCCGGGGAATGGCTTTACTAAGATGAATGGAAGTGAGTCAGGGTGTGTGTGTGTGTATGTGTGTGTGTGTGTGCAGCATATGAGGTTGAGGGCACCATAAAATCGAAACCCCAAGCTCACTGCCATCGAGTCAATGCCAATGCACAGCATCCCTCCAGGACAGGGCAGAATTGTCCCCCATAAATTTCCAAGATGTCAACGCTTTATGGGAGTAGAAAGCAAAGCTCAGAGACGCGTAGGATCCGAAGTGTGCAGGTTGCCAGAGAGCCGAGGACGTCAGGGGCTGTAGAACGGACACTGGAGGGCTTTAGATGCCAGACTGAGGGCTGGGCCTTGGGAGAGCCTTGGAAAGGTTTGCAGCGGGAGGAAGCTATGAACAAATGTGAGTCTAGAATCATTTCTCAGGGTACTGGTGTGGGAGGGAAACATCCCAAGAGGGAAGCTAGCTGATTTCCTCCCTGGGGGATGGGGGTGGGTGGGGCAGGTGCACGCAGCTGGCATGACCACTAATTTCTCTCTCCCTTCTGGACAGATCCCCTCCAGACTGCGGAGGTCTGGGGAGATTGCGCCTGAAGAAGCCTGGGAGGCTTCAAGTTGGCAAAGACATCCAGCTCCTTTTCCCTCTAGGACCTGATGTCCTCAGGGAGGTTCCTTGTCTACCCAACCCCCTCCTCCAGCCTCATGCCAATGCACCTAAGACATTTTCTTTTCTGGGCACAGGGGCCTGGCCACCTGTTGTCTCTAAGAAGAAGGAAGGAGCCACCTAAACTTAGCAGCTGCCCTTGGCCTTCTGCACTGGCCCTCCCCCCATCCCCAAGTCTACAAGTGCCTTGCCTTATAAGGTTACCATGGGGGCGTCAGGCCCAGGGAGGAGCCCATTTATCACTGGGCTCTGGGAGGGGAGAGAGACCCTGAAGCAGGGAAGGTGGGACAAGTTGAGGAATCCTGGGCCACATGGAAACTGGAGGTTGACGGGAGGGGACGGGGGTGTCTGAAACTGAGTAGGAATATTCACAGGATTGGATCTGAGCAGGAAGTGCTCAGAGAATTCAGAAGCCAAGGAAGAATCATGAAGTTAGGAGTTAGGTCGCAGAGGTAGACTGCAATTTCAGAATGGCAGTTTGTGTATGGAAATTGGCATCTTTGAATCCTCAGCTGTGGCAGCGTCGTGGGCTAGGCGTTGGGTTACTAATTGCAAGGTTGCTGATTCAAACCCACCAGCTGCTCCTTGGGTGAAAGATGGAGCAGTTGGCTCCCGTAAAGATCCTATCCTATGTAAGGTCTCTATGAGTTGGATTTGACTTGGTGGCCGTGGGTTTGACTTTAGCTAACTGGGGGCCTAGTGGACTGGGAGCCAGAGAGAGTGGGGATTGTTTAACAGCTGGGAGATTGGGGTTTATTTATGGTCTAGGGCAGCATGAGATTGGTGTCTGGGTTCTTTGCAGACAATGAGAGACTTCAGAGAGCTGTGGTACTGTGAGAGGAGTTGATGGGGCTGGAGTTCTGGACATGAGGGGCGGGGCATGTTAGGAACAGATCTAGGGAGCTTAAGGTGTTGGGGATTCTTGAATTTGGGGTATGGAATCCCCATGAGGAGGGGGGAAGACTCACAGATGAAGACTGAAGAGAGAGACTTGGGATTCCTGCAAGAAATGGAGGGATCCCGAGAAATGGATAGCTTAAGGATTTGGGGCTCGAGTTATAAAATCTTCCAGACTTGGGAGTGATGGGGTTGAATTGGAGCATTCCAGGGAGTGTGAAGGTTGAGCGTCCCGCAGCTGGCTCAGAGCTCTGTGGTGGGGTTTAGAAAGCGCTCTGGAGACCACTGGAATCGGGGGACCCCCGGGCTCGGTGACTAGAGGGGGAAAGTGGGCCCAGAGAAGACGCAGGAGGAGCAGCGTCTTATTGGTTAAGGGCTGCGCTAATCCCCGTGGCTCTCGCACTCTCTTCGCGCTGTCCCCAACTGTCACCCTCCTCCCGCGCTTGTCGCCGGGTGTCACGGACTATCCCTGTCTTGGCACCTCCGGCTGGCAGCATCCTTGTCCTGTCGCTACTGCCATTGGCTGAGACAGTTCCCTCCTCTGTTGCTGAAGTGCGCGACGGAGACCATTGGTTGACGAGACAAATCAATCGCAGTCTTGGCCCGCCTCCCAACTGTCATCCTTTCCTGACCATTTTGGGAGCCCTCAAGAATTCCTCAGTTCTTCCTATTGACTGCAGATGCTGTCTGTCACCGCCCTTGGGAGGCCCCCTAGGCTCCGCCCCCGAGACGCGCCTTCCTCCCCGCCCTTCCGCAGTCACTCACCCTTCCTTCATCTTTATTGGCCAAGACGTGCTGCGTTCCGCCTTCCCCCGACTCATCTCGCCCTTCGATTGGTTCTACACCTCTCCGCCCCCTCCGTTTCCTCTTTCCTGATAACCCACCCTCTTCCCACCGCTAACCCCACCCACCCTTCCAGCGATTGGCAGAAGCCCAGTTCCCTTTCTCCTGCTATTCGTCCAGGCCCTTTGACGAGGCGGGAGGGAAAAAAAAAAAGCGCGAGGGGCCGGCGGCGCGCAGGCGTGAAACGTCTGAACGCTGGCCTCGGAGCCCGGCACCGGGGCGTGTGCGCAGGCGCCGGGTCGGCCGCTCTCCGGGAGCTGGAGGGAGGGGGGCGCCAGCGGCGGCGAGAGAGCGCGAGTGTGGCGGGGGACGCGAGCGAGACCCCGGCGTGAGGCGCCCCTGGACCCCCCGCCCCACCTCCGTGCGCCCCACGGAGGCTCGAGCCGCCCCTGCCCTCGGCGCGTGCCGGGCCGCGCCCTTCGCCCTCGCCCCTTCCTTGGCGGGTGGCGCGGGGCGGCCTGAGGGGCGGCGCCTTTTGCGGCCGCCCCGGCGAGGGGATGTGAGGGGCGGCCCGCGGCCATGGAGACGGGCCGGGCGTCCGTGGTGGCCCCGGCGCGCTGTCATGGCGCCCCCGCGGCCCCTTCGCCACCGCCCCGGAGCTCCCGGGCCGGGACCGTGGTGTTGGTGACCCAAGGGCCCCAGGTGACCATGGCCACCTCGGCTCCGGTCACCCTCGTGGCCCCTGGGGAGGCGCGGCCCACTCGGGTCCAGGCGCCCAACCAGACGACCGACCCAGTCCCGGTCACCACCTCGGGGGTTACCAGCAGCACAGTGGTCGAGCTGACCCTGGAGGCCTCGCCTGCAGCCCCGGCTGCACAGGTCCCCCCGGGCGCCGAGCCCCCGGGGCCCGCGGCGGCAGCAGAAGCTGGGACGGCCATAGCACCGGCCCCAGGGGCAGACTCCCCGAAGACGGAGGAAACGCGAACGTCTCCGGCCCCTGCTCCAGGGACGCCCACCCGGACCCCCTCCAGGACACCTCCGGGGGCCCTGACTGCCAAGCCCCCGCTTGCCCCAAAGCCAGTGGCCCGTCCTGCCGCAGTGACAGCGGGACAGATGGCAAGTGGACCGGGAGCTCCAGCACCAGCACCCACCTCTGAGGACCCTTCAGCGCCTGGCGCTGGCCCTCCAGAGACCTGTGAGGCTCAGATGGCCGTAGTGACGGTGACCCCAGCCCCAGAGCCTGCTGAGAGCACTCAGGACCTGGGTTCCACGTCCAGCCTGGGCCCTGGCATCCCTGGGCCCCGCGGGCAGGCGCCTGACACGCTGAGCTACCTGGACTCGGTGAGCCTCATGTCGGGGACCTTGGAATCCCTGGCGGATGACGTGAGCTCTATGGGCTCGGACTCGGAGATCAATGGGCTGGCCCTGCGCAAGACGGACAAGTACGGCTTCCTGGGGGGCAGCCAGTACTCGGGCATCCTGTGAGTACCCAGTGGGCACCGAAATGGGACGGCAAGGGGGATGCCCCAAAGCAGCTTCGTCTGAGGGTCCTAGGGGTGTTTTGTGGGGGTGGGGGACTTGGTGGCTCCTGTCACGCCCAGGGCATCGCGGAGCTTCTGGGTGGTCCTGGCAGGTTAGTGGGAATTGGGAGTGGCGTGTGTTCCCCTGAGCCGGTGGCCTCCCCTTTCTGTGCCTCAGTTTCCTCCTCTTAGAAGTGAAGGGATGGGCTAGGTGATCCCTGAGGTCAGGGATACCATACCCTTGATGGTATCAACCAGGTACAGGCCAGATCATCCTGAGGGGCAGCGGGGCAGGACTTCTGCTAGAGACTTTTGGCCCCTCAGGGAGACACATTTGGCGGGCTAGGAGTTCGCTGGAAGGAGGGGGTGGGGGATGGAGGCAGTGAAGGGCCAGCTGGCTGTGTCTCCACCGAAGGAAAGAAAGCGGGTGGGGGAGGCCTCTTCCCCATTTCCTCATCTCCCCAGAAGGCCCTACTCTTTCCCTCCAGGGGCCTGAGTCACTCCTGAGGTGGGGGTGGGATGGCTTGAGACTGCTTTCTTCCCTCTCTCTGGATGCAACCCATTGGTCCCCGGCACCTTTAACCTGCAGGCCTGGCCATTCATTGGACACCCAGCAGGTGGGCCGAAGGGGTAGAATAGTTTCCCCAGGGAGCTCGTGGTTTATAGGGAGAGGCCATGCTTCCGTGGTTGATTTCTCTGTGATAGGTTTAGGCTGGAGATCAGCAGGGGTGGGGACCCTTTTGCCCATCCTGAGCCATCAGGGGAAGTGGGATTTTGTCAGAGCTTGGGGGAGCTGGTGCTGGAGGAAATCTTGTGGAAGGGGATTCTAGGTTGGATTGAGAACCCAACAATAACAGAGAACACCTTTGATTGGCAACATTCACAGTCCAGAATGGGGAAAGCAGCTGAAGTTTGTTTGACCTTGCTGCCTGCCCATATAGGAGGGGTGAGCTTATTGATGAACAAACAGATGAGAGGAGGTGAATGAATTACCCCCTTCAACTCATCGGGGGTGGCACCCAGATCTGGACCCCCAAGGGCTTACTCCCTCATACCGAGCTGCTGTTAAGAACTTGAACTTGATTCCATTTTAGCAAGCCCCTGGGGTGGCGGGGCAGGCACCCTACTGGGTGCTCGTTCTTGGTTTTGTAGGCTTGTCACTCTAAACATCCACCCTACACACCAGGAAAGCCTACCTCGCCATCCAGACCGACTGGGACACACACTACCTTAAAAGTGTTCAGACTGTCCACAGGACACAGTCCAGGCCCTTCAGCCAGTGCAAAAGCGCCTTCCTAGCTTGCTCCGGTGGCCTCTCTGGCCTTCTCTCCCCGCGCTCCCCACGATGCATTTTGTCAGTGGGCTTGCTGAACTGGTTGTAGTGTTTTCTTCATGCTCAGGCCGTCCTGGCTGACCAGAATGCCCTTCTCCCTGTCTGCCTGCTAACTTCTCATCCTCCAGAGCTGACCTGAGGCATCCCTGTCCTACAGGAAGCCATCTCTAGTGTCCACCACTCCCACTTTACTGCAGTGCCTCTTCTGGTGGCAGAGTAGGGTTGTGTGTTAGGCTGTTAATCTGAAGGTCAGTAGTTCGAAACCACCAGCCACTGCTCGGGGGGGCGGGGAAAGATGAGACTTTCTACTCCCGTAAAGATTTACGGCGTTGGGAACCCACAGGGAGCCGTTCTTCCCTGCCCTCTAGGTCGCAGTGAGTTTCTCTGCTGCTCTGTCATTGCATTTCCTATACTTTATTGCACTGATGTGGCTCACTAGGCTGTGATCTGCTTGAGGACAGCCGAAGTCTCTTGTTCTTCCGTTAGGCAAGTGCACAGCTGGTTTGAGATGGAGATGAATGAGAGGCAGTCTGTCTGTTGAGAGACTCATGGGTCCTTTCCATCGAGCAACTTTCCAGATAGACTTCTCAATAGTTCGCTCATACCAAGGGGCTGCAGGTGCTGCCGGGGTCTCTGATGAGGAAGAGACTAAGGTTGTCCCTTGGCCAGATTCCCTCTAGACCATAGAACTGGGATTTGAACCCAGTCTGCCTGATTTCTAAAACCTTAGCATGTTCTTCCTTTCCACTCACCAGCTGGTACTGGTTCCCGCAAGGAACTGTTTCAAGGCTGATGGGGCCCCTGGAGCGAGAAGCAGTGCCAGTGTGGTGGGTACACAGGGCGAGGAGAGCTGCATTTTGTCTGGGAATCTGGGGTGGTTTCAGGGAGGAGGGAATTGCAGACAGCGCAAAAGGCTGAGCAGAGGAAGCCGATGCCTGCACCGAGAAGTGTATTTGTTCTGCATTTTACTTGGTGTGTAGTAGCTGCTAGAGCCCCTGCTGGGTGTTTTCTCCTGTAACCTCCCAACAGACCCCTTTGGGTAGGCATTGCTGGTTTGTCCCGTCTTATGGACGAGGAAACAGACTCGGAGACCTTAAATGACTTGCCCAAGGTCACACACAAAGTGGTCAACCTAGGTAGGTCTTGGATCCAAGACTGATGCAAAGCCCAGCTTTACGGTATCGCCTCGTCTCCCCAAATAAGGATGTGTCAGAAGTAGGATTCGAACACAAGTTTCCATCTGGTTATCCAGCCAGCGAGAAATCCCTTCCATCTTGGCGAACTCTAAGGTCTGGCGATGGCCCAGTGGCCAGCCATCTGATACTTTCATGTTCACTTCCACATATCTGCCTATGGGGTGGCTTGCCTCAGTTCTGCCCGGAGCCCAAGTTCTGTACTAATAATGACCTTTTCCATGCCCTCCCCACCCCGGCCCACGCCCCCATCCTGCAGAGAGAGCTCCATTCCCGTGGATGTGGCAAGGCAGCGGGAGCTCAAGTGGCTGGAGATGTTCAGTAATTGGGATAAGTGGCTGTCACGGCGTTTCCAGAAGGTTTGAAAAGGCTGAGAGGGGGTGGGGTGCTAAGGGCCCACATGCTTTGGGGAAACCCATGTATTTGACCACCCGCTGGACCCTGTGGGAGCAGGCACTATCTGGACTTGGGGGGAGGAGTTTTAAATTGCACAGCCAGACCAGATGTGGGAAGATTGCCCCAAGAAAGCTTGGAGGCTGTGCCAGCTCCTAAACCTGCCCCTCTGCCTTAGGTGAAGCTGCGCTGCCGGAAGGGGGTCCCCTCCTCCCTCAGAGCCAAGGCCTGGCAGTACCTATCCAATAGCAAGGAACTCCTGGAGCAGAACCCGGGCAAGTTTGAGGTACGTGGTGCTCCGGGGTGTGGAGCATGTGGCCTCCCATCTGTGTGAGGGGTGTCAGTGCCCGCAGATCCTGAGCTCATCCCTGCTGTTCACTGTAGGAGCTGGAACGGGCTCCTGGGGACCCCAAGTGGCTGGATGTAATTGAAAAGGACCTGCACCGCCAGTTCCCTTTCCATGAGATGTTTGCTGCTCGAGGGGGACATGGGTAAGGTGGCCTTACCAGAAGGGCCAGTCAGCAAACACAGTTGGACACCAGCCAGATGGACATAGAACTGGGTTCCTGCCCTCCAGGGCTTCTCGAATGGTGACCCTTCATGGGTTGCATGTCAAGCCCATACAGAAGGAGGTGTCCTGGGAGCTGTGAGGGACCGTGCCCAAAAGGGAGCCTCTCACCTGTGTGTGTACACTTTGCCTGTGTGTATGGCAAAGGCTTGTGGAAGAGCTTGTATGTGACCTGGGTCTGGAAGGCTGGATGGGAGCTAGAGGAGGGCCCACATTCTTCCTGGCCTGGGAGTTAGGTCAGTTCTAGTAGGGTGGGCCAGGGCAGAGGCTGAAAAAGAAGCTTGGAGGTAGATCACCTTTAAATGCCCCATCACGGCCTTTTACTTTGGTTCTCTAGGCCAGGTGTCATCAAGATGTGGTCTCTGTCTATAAAAAGATGTGGTATCTATGCCACTCCTAGTAGCATACAAGACACTCTGAGACGATTTCCATTGCAATGGTTTTTAATCAGCAAGTTTGTCTTGCAGCTGCTGTGTGAGTACCTGCCTTGGGCCAGACATTGTTCTAGTCACAGAGGACAGTCAACCAAAAGACAAACGTTCTTGCCCTCTGGTAGCTGACTCAACTCCCGTGGGGATAGATACTACGTACTGTAAGATACGGAAGGGAAGTAAGTTGTATGAGATGGGGCTGAGTATGAAAGAGGAGTTTCCCACAAGAAAGGAAAGAGTAGGGAATGTAAGTGGGGGTGAAGTTCCAGCTTTAACTCGGGAGACCCAGGCCAGCCTCACTTAGACGATGGAGTAGCGGGTCTAGAAGGACCCGAGGCAGGTGCAGGAGTGGGCCATGCGGAGAGCCGGGGAAGAGTGTGCCTGGCAGACAGAAGCCGAGGGGGGAACATGCCTGCTGCATGCATGCTCCTGGCAGGAGGTCAGTGTGGTTGAAGAGGGGAGTGTGTGATGGTAGGGTGGTAGGAAATGAGGTCATAGAGCCGTCTAAGCTGCTGAAAATACTCGACTCTGACATTGAGTAAGGTAAGGAACTCTTGCAGGGCTTTTATTTTCAAGAATTGTTCTCGCTGCTCTGTAGAGCATCGAGACTGTAGGGAGCCAAAGGAGGAAGAAGAGAGCCCAGGTAGGAGTCTGTTTCCACAGTCCCCAGGAGGGAGGGTGACAGCAGATTGGACAGCGATAGCAGTGGAAGGATGGAGAAAAGTGGTTGGAGTCTGGATATCTTTTAGAGGTAGAACCAAATGGAGTAGACTCTGTGTGTGTGTGTGTCCGTGTGTGTCCGTCCGTCCGTCTGTCCGATGGTGACTACTAAGCTCTAAGACCTGAGAAAGTAGAAGAGTGGAGTTACTTGCTGATCGGATGGGGAAAGAGTTCCAGGTGGGAACTTGACTTTTGAAATGCTGGTTGGGCAGCTGGATGGAGAGGTCGGATAAACCGGATTCCCACGTGGATTTCAGCAGGGGAGGTTTAGTGCTTTCTGTGATCATGACAGATTGGAGCTACGTTGGAAATTAGAAGTCAACCATCAGCCTCTAGGAGACCGAGGGAGCGGGTGTAGATGAGAAAGGAAACTGCCTGGGGTCCGAGCCTACAACCATGCCCCTCACCCCCTCCCTTCAACCCTCCAGAGAAAGGGCAGAGGAAAAAGGCCCAGCAAAGGAGACTGGCCGAGCCAAGGCCGGAGGGAAACGGGGTGGGCTGGGGGAGATTTCCGGGAGCACAGTGACAGGGGACTCGGGGAGCAGCTTGGTAAAACGCTGCCAGTGGGTGAAGCACAGGCAAGTCTGAGAACTGGCCCGGGAGGCTCTGGGTGACTACTGGAAGCCCAGTTAGGTAGCGGAGTGGAAGACCGAGAGTCCACGCTCTGGAGGCGGCGTCCTCCACAGGGATGGAAGAGGAAAGCATGTTCCAGACGGTTCCTTTTGTACCTGTGAAGCTGGAAGCGGCGACTGCTGGTTCGCTGATGTGGATGACCTAGCAGGGAGGGGAAGACTGCTGCTGCAGGACCTGCAGTACTGCCGGCCTGTCGACCTTGTGTAGATGAGAAGGGCTGGGACCCAGGGCATCAGGGCAAGGCTGTCCTCAGCCAGGGTCACAGACAGTTCACCCATAGCAACAGGGGAGCATGCCAGTGGGTGGAAGCTGTGTGGGAGCTTGTGGAGTTGCATGTATGTGTTATAACCATCATTCCACAAACCTGCCGTTCCATGGATGCTCACGCAAAGGGGAAGGAGCTCGGGTGGCAGGGTGGGTTATGCACTGAGCTGCTAGCCCCCAGCTCGGGAGTTCCAAACCCCCCCCCCTCTGTAGGTGCATCTCTGCCCTTCAGGGTCACCATGAATTAGAGTTAACTCAATGGCAGTGAGTTTCTTGCTTGTTTCAGTGCAAAGTGGAGGGAAAAGCTACTAGAACCATTGTAGGAGTAGAATTTGGGCAAATTAGCACAAATGAATACTGGGTTTGAGGGAATCTGCATTCCGGGCCATATTCTAGCATCTCCACTATTCAGAATGCACTATTCTAGAAGGAGGGTGGGGTGGCACTGGGTGGGGGCATGGCATTCAGCAGGTCGGCTTCTAGGACCCAGGAAGTGCCCTGGGGACCTGGGGCTCTCCGTTTGACGTGGGGGCTGAGTGTTAGGAGTCCCACCACAGCGATAAGGTTCCTTCCAGGCCCAGGCCTGGATATTGCTGTCCTACACCAAGAGATGGGGCAGGTCTGAGGAAGAGCTGGCTTTCAAGCCGTACCCAAGAAGCAGGGCGCACTGCTGAAACCAGCCCTACTCTGGGAGGCTCCTGCTCTGGCTTTGGGCACTAAGCCTTCGGCTGCAGACAGCTTCTGAAGGGTTATGGGACATGGCCGATGAAGGAGGGCAAGATGCCAAGTTGTGCAGCCAAGGGTTGTGTAGTTTGGGGCCGGTCTCCACCTGGATAGCTTGCTAGGCCCGAACAAGGAAGGCCGATGGGGGTACCAGGTGGTGGCATGGTGAGGTTCAGCTGGAGTGCCCTGTTAGAAAGGGCTGGGGCGGGTGGGCAGCCGACTTGGTTTGAGGCGGAGCGCCCGGCCCGTGATTGCCTCCCCTCCCGTCTTCCCCGTCCCTGCAGGCAACAGGACCTGTATCGTATCCTGAAGGCCTACACTATCTACCGGCCGGATGAGGGCTACTGCCAGGCGCAGGCCCCCGTGGCCGCAGTGCTGCTCATGCACATGCCCGCCGAGGTCAGCATCTCCTGGACCTGGCGAGGGTGGCCTGGGAGCATCTTGGCCCACAGCAGGGAGGGGAGGCAGAGGCGTCTAGCTGCTCCCTGGTGCTCAGGCCCCATCCCTCCTCCCTTGTTCTTGCCCTTGCCAGCAAGCCTTCTGGTGCCTGGTTCAGATCTGTGACAAGTACCTCCCGGGCTATTACAGCGCAGGGCTGGTGAGTGGAAGCTGGGTGCCTGCTCTTGCTGCCCACCCCCGCCCCCTCCAGTCCCTCTCTCCTCTGAGGGCCTCCCAGGGCTGTCCCGAGGGGGTCAAGGAAGCCGGGCCCTTTCTCCTGACTTGTCTGCCCCCAGGAGGCCATCCAGCTGGATGGTGAGATCTTCTTTGCGCTGCTGCGCCGGGCCTCCCCGCTGGCACACCGGCACCTGCGGCGGCAGCGCATTGATCCCGTGCTCTACATGACCGAGTGGTTCATGTGCATCTTCGCCCGCACCCTGCCCTGGGCCTCAGTGCTGCGCGTGTGGGACATGTTCTTCTGTGAAGGTACTTCTCTGGCCCTCCCGCTCACATTCCTGGTGGCCTGGTGACAGAAGGCACTTGGAGGCCAGAGGAACTGAGGCCTGGTCGGGGCCCTGGCCCTGGCCCTG